TCAGTGGCTCTACTATGGTAACATCATCATCGTCATATGGCTGTGAGGAAGAAGACATTTGACCATGCTGTGCTGAGTTTGGACTGCCTTGTTTGGATAGCGACTGCAGGATATCAAGGACAGCTTTGATTTTTGCTGAACTAAACTCGTTTTTTAGAATAACTGATTTATCGAGATCAATATCCTGTGAAGAGCTGCAGCCTAAATCATCGGTGATACAATTTCTAAGGGCAGATTCAGAGAAAACAACATCACGCCCAAGCTGTTCTCTGCATCTCCGTACAGGGCACGTGTTCTCATCCCCAGCTACATACTCTGAAACACACTGATAGCAAAATACATGGCCACACAATGTAACAACAGGGTTTTCTGGTGGATCCTGCAGATAAACATGTAACAGAAAACTAAGAATAAATCTTGTCAAACCTAGCCTAAGAACTAGAGAATAGTGAGTACATGCTATTCCTAGCTCTAGATTACTCTGCACTTACATCACAGACACAGCAGATGGCAGAGGATGACTCTAAACGATTGAGCAGGTTGATTCGAGCCTCCCTAGGAAGTCTTTTGACAGCTTCTTCTGATTCTTTTCCAACAGGATCTGAGTTATATCCTTTAACTAGCTGTGGGTGGTCACAAGCTTGGCGTAGTCGCAAAAGCATCAAAAGAATATTTGCATAGTTTTGGCTCAAAGTTCCTGCAGCAGCATAGGCCTGCAGGGAAAATGAAACATCATCTTATCAGGAACAACTACGAGTTTATGTTGAGGAAAAAGACTTAGCAGGAAAACACTGATTTTCCAAGAAAGGAGAACTCAGAAACATGATTTCCAAGTATTGAGCTGATAATCTGTGGAGGACAAAAAGGAGAACCTTGAACTGTGATCGTGAATCTGCTTCAAGTTTCCTGTAGAAGGACCGCTCCTCCACTGAAAAGTCCACCTTGCTCAAATTAACTTTCTTTGGAGGTAGGTTAATTATGGGTTGCCCATCAAGCAATGTTCCTAGATAGCAGAACAGAAGATATTTAGCAGTAACCATCAACTGTCGCTCAGCTACGTA